GTCTCTAGGCACGAGCACCAGCGCGAGGGCACGGAAGGGACGGGGCTTGCTCAGCGAGTCCCCCTCTTTCTCAGAGGGCCTCGTGGCCTCACACACTCATAGCCAAGGCTTGGAGGTTAATGCAAGCCGTGGGGGTCACGATCACCTAGCTCACTACCTTGACTCCCTCGAGGAATCAACACACTAAACTTTCCTCACTAAAATCCTCTGCTACATTACCTGCTCCCCAGGTCAGGGAGGTTTTCCTATCTCCCAGCCATAGCCGACCTGATCCAAACTTGCCCGTGAGTGCAGGCGGAAGGCTGGTCAACGTCTGGGCCTAACCTCACTGTTTGGTGCCCACCGTGTCCAGTTTCCTTGGGTGCTGGTCTTGCTTAGGGTCGTGTCTGAGCCACCAGCCGAGGTACTGGCCCTATTCACAAGGGACACCTGACGCAGAGGGAACCCGTGTTGGGTGGCTGGGGAGAACGAGCAGTTTCCGACCTGGGCTAACTCCTCTCCCTCTTTCTGACAGAAAACATCCAGCAAACAACAGATGCATTTCTCCTAATGGTTTGGTCTCACCCAAACAAGTGCAGACAACTGCTGTTACGCTGTAAAAAGAGTAGATCTAAAGGAATAAGGGGGAAAGGGTGTTTTCTTCCCAGACACAATGACATAATGTTTCCACGCATGTTCAGCTAAACTGAGCAGAGCCACTGCGGTCCTCGGGTGACATCACGGTATCTGCAGATCCTTCTAGCAGAGATCCCTAATGCTGCAACTCAAAGGAGACTTACATAGACCAAGGGAACCCCAAATACAGGCTCTCTCTCTCAGGCATAAGTCACGTTAGACTAAGAAGTATCTTTGAAGTTTTTTGGGAAACAAATCCATTGATTAATGTGTAAAAGCTATTTTGCAGGGAATTGGCACTAGCACTACACACTATTCCTGCTAAAAATAAAGAATAATGCCACAATCCCAAAATACAGGTTGCAAACATGAAAGAATAGCGGGAATACTCAAATCTTGAGCATCACAGCTTCTTCAGGCCACCTAGACCACTGGGAGAGGGAAGGCAGCCGGCCGCCCACCTGTGTCGTTCCYGGCACCTCAGGCAGGGCCACCTTCCGCAAGGATCTAGCTGTGCAGCCCAGCGTGCCCATCTGTCTCCTCGCCAAGGGGGCCACAAAGAGCCACAGCAAAAGCGGGATCAGATTCTGCCAGTTCTGCTTGGATTGAAAACCTCTTTTTTTCCCCCCACTCCCAGTAGTCTCCATCTTACCACACGTTCTACAGTTGTGCTTAAGGAGATGTATTCTTACCTTTGCAGATTGCAGGGCTCTCTACCCATGCTCAATGCACACTGCAGAGAGAGTTAACTCTTACAGAGAAACAAGGGAGAGCTTGTATCAGCTCACAACTGAGTCACCTACACAACACGGTCCAAATCCACAGGGTTAGGAACCAAGGTAAAGACCACGGGAACCCAGTGGGGACAAGGACCTCCCAGAGGGCCCTGGCCTCGTATCATTAGCCCATTTGTAGTTCCAGGCTTGTTCTTTGGGGAAATATCACAGAGTCCCGAACTGGCTAGTGGTGAAGAAAAAATGAGTCCAAAATACTCTAGGAGAATTGAGCTTCCATGCTGAAAGGGTATTTTCCTTCCCCTTAACAAGCCCAACAAGGAGTTTGTCATTTTTGGCTTTGAAGAATTACCTGCTTGGGTTTGATTTTTTTTTTTTTTTTAAGATTTTTTAAATTAAAACCTAAAAGCTATAGAAAGGTAGAGGTAGCTTTTAACTGCAAGGTTCCTGTCTACAATGAGCATTGCTCCAGAGCCAAGGGACATTTTCAGTCAGACTGGTATAAAACAATACTCAGGGGGAAAAAAGGGTTGAAAGAGAAAGCATTAAAGGTATAGGAACTCAGAGACCTCTTCCTGCTCCCAGATCGACCATCTCACAAAATGAGCGTATTTCCTCCATGAGGAGTCTATATTTAATCCAGACACATCACTGAGGATGCCTGAGCCGCCTGGCAGCCCTTTCCTCCTCTTCAAAAAGTACTCGAGATTCACTCTTGGCTTTGTCTAATGAGCGGCCTACGTCTCACAAGAACATATACCCTTACAGGTTGCAGCGAGCGAAGCCAGGATCAGTGAAATAACACTTCTATTCCTTTCATTTGGGCTGCTTCCTCAGAAAGAAGGAAAAAAAAAAAAAGCGAAAGGACGCACAGAGGCCTCCCACACGCTGGAAAACCAGCCAGCGCTGAGGGACGCTCACCGGCCACCCTGTCTTTCGAAGCTTTCCTAACCCTGTTCTATGTGATGTTCTGCAAGGGGCGTTACCAGAACCACCACCCCAAGTAGGTGCCATGAACAGCGCAGTCCCAACTGCCCTTCCCGTCTGGAGCTGTCCTAAGCTCTGTGACTGGAACAGGGATTTTCAGTGGAAATAGGCAGCTGTTGCCTCCACCACAGGCAGTTCCTGAGGCAGGTGAAGAGCAGAACTTCRTGCTGAGAAGCAGTACAATAAGGAGCAAAATGTTATCTCCCTTCTCTCACAAACCACATCCACGAACCCAGATACTCCACACAACCCACCTCAGGGCTCCTGTTTGCAGCCAGAGTCACGGACGAGGCCTCCCCTCCGACTGCCTTTCCCCGTGACGCCGCTGCCTGCTAACCTGCCGCCCACGCCACGGTGCCTGTACGGTACAACAGGGGTCTGCATCAACGGGGCGAAGGCTTCTCTGTGGCCCCGCGTTTCTATTTCACAGCCCTTCTCTAGCCTTAAAATCTTCACGTACCCTTCCTAGCACTCAAAAGGCGAGAGCTCTTCCTGCCATCTCAAAAAAAAAATGCAGAGTGCAACGTTACCTTCACGTAGGCAACTTATGGGTTTCCACCAATTGCCCCTGGCGAAAGGATTCTGTGGGCAGCTACAGGACCAGCACCTCAGCCCCTGTGCGTGACCCACGTCAGCATCGGACCTCTGCCTTATTCGGAAGATCCTCTGGGGGCTTTTTTCTTTCTTTTAGAAAAGAGGTTTTCACTCTTTTAAGATCCCACAAACAAAACCTGTTTATGGAAAAAGAGAGATATTTTGAATACTAAAGTCCTTTATTCAACAACACAGAAATATCACAAAAACAACTTTACTGGGCAAATTGAATGTTTTTATACAGTTTTGTACATGCCCCATAAGTGATTATTTTTTTAATAAATACACTGTTTTCCAAAACTGTTGTTTTCCATAATTGCACAAGCATACATACACCTTACACAAATATCTATTAGAAAATTTAATAGATAACTGCACAGTTCAGAAATAGGAGAACACTGTGAAAGCAGTACATTTCTGTGGCCCGCGTTTCTGGAAAAAAACCTCTCAGTTCCCTGCAATTGTGAAAATGGGAGTACTTTCTAACACAGGAGCTGTCTTTTATTCACTAAGAATACAGTAGAGCTCAGCGTGAAACTGCCAAATTTAATAAAAACAAAATCTGAAACATTTAGCTGTTACATGAGAACCCACTGTTTGATATCACTATGCATCTACCCATGATCAAAGACCCACTACTGCTTTTTGCTGAATGTATTCGACCCTGAACGGTATGTTCATTTAACTACTTTCTTTCTTCATTATTTGATTACAGACGGAGCCCATTTGAAGACTTCATATTCCTTAGCACTAATTGTATGACTTACATACCAGGGGTTCTGCACAGAAAGGGAGGATTTCTTCTCTGAGGGAGGGTCTGTTATGAATTCCCGCCGCGTGTATGTGCGGCCCCCCCTCACCCTTGCTGCTCTCCGTAAGTTCATCTGGGGTATGACAAAAATGCTCCTGCGAGGCTCGGCGCGCACGCCCGGACGGCTGCAAGACTACGTGCCGCGCTGCTCTTTATTTTGCGTCGGGAGAGTGAAAGACACAGAGGGATACACGTTTTCAGACGGGAAAATGTTTTTAGACCTTGCGAAAAGAGCAAATTGGGTAATTAAACTTGACAATAATCTGATTTACAAATACGTATGTAACGTGTGGGGAGGAGGGGAAGGCGAGAGAGAGACCAGAAAGGGATTTCCTTCTTTAAACATCACTAATCAAAATACTGTATGTGCACTACATCATATAAATACCGTTTTACCAAAATTGAAAAACGTGATGGCGTAAAGGAACAATATCCAAAATCAAAACCATACGGGGAAATCAAAGAAAAAAATCAACTCTTGTTTGTTTTTAATAATTAACAGGTTTGTGTGTTGGTTTTTAACAATTTTGAATTGACATGTAAAACACCACAATTACAATATACAGATCCATCAGTTCTTTAAAACAAAATGACAAAACAAAAAAAAAGAAACCACATCAAGACATGCAACATTAGGGTATTAGACAGCTAAATACATTGCTAGGAATATCTTTGTACACCTAATGTAGCCTGAACTTAATTTCGTCTCTACTTCTGCAAGGGCAGTCACAATTTTCCAAAAAGCAAGGCAAGCTTACGGGCCGCGCGCGCAAGTAAGGCTTCAGCTTGTACGTCAATCAGCGCTTTGGTGGCGAAGACCTGGCAGAGCTCTCGGGGTCCAGCAGGCCAGAGCAGAGGTCCCAGCGCGGGAGCCCCCGGGAGCCGGCGCAGAGCTGCCGGCGGAGCAGGGGCAGCCGCTCGCCGCGCGCCCCTCGCGCGCCCCGACGGGGGGCACGTGGCGGACACGCCAGCCGGGGCCGGCCCCGGCGCGCGCCGCCCGCCCGCTGCCGCCGGGCCCATGGAAGGGGCTGCAGCACCGCGAGTGGGGATGGCGCTGCGCGGCGCCCGCCCCGCGCTGCCCTGCTCCACACCTCGCCCGGCAAACGACGGCAAGGGCTATCTTGCCTAAAGGGGTAAATATATCAAATACGTGGCACAAGAGCATTCTCTGACTTTGATGGGATGGCCTTTTCACTCATGAGTGGTATGACGAAGCCAAGCAATAAAAAAATGATAATCAACTGGTATTAAGTATCCCTAAGTTCAGTATCTTCCATAAGCTGCCTTTTCAAGGAGCAAACGTTTTATGTGCACAGCAAGGGCAGGAAGCAGGATGGTAGGGCTGGTGGTTCAACACAGTCCAGATCAGCGGACCCAGACGTGTGTGCAAGAAGCATTCATGTTTTGTAAATTATAAAATAAAGGTAAATTTCACACCCCCCCAAATATTCAGGCTCTCAGTTGAGTATAACGGCAAGTGAGACCCAAACCAGTATCAACGTCGTAACTCGCTTAATGGTGGAGAGCTCTATGTGGAACAAAAATATTGCATTCAACTTTATAACTTCCTCCATTGGCTGAAAAGCTTACACGAGAACTCACAGACGGAGGGCACTTTGACGGCGTCATCGCTTTTCCTACGGTCTCGTACTCACTTCACTCAGTATCCCAGAACAAGCTTTCTACAGACGACTGGTTTTGCACGGCCACCTATGTCGTGCAGCCCGCCTTACAGCACAGCCAAAAGCAAGCCCACACCATAGAGCCTTTTGGGGAGAGAGAGAGACCCTTCTGTAAAGTTCTCCTGGAAGCAATGCAAGCAAACCACTACTCTAATACAGTGCTCGAAAGATTAATTTTAAATTTTATGTCTTCCCCTCACACACCACCATGGCGGAAGGCAATTGCTAGATGCGTCGTAATCTTTTTTATCGTGTAAAACTTGGCATCAAGTCTCTATGGAAGGCTGCATGGTAAAACAGTGCTGCTGTTGCTGCTGCTGCTAAACAACTAGCAAAATAATATTTAAAGCTAGGATTTATTGCTCCAGATTTAACTCGCAGAACCACACCGTTGTGTACAAACCGTTCATCTCCATAGATGCTCAGACGTGATTGTCTCCTTGTGTCTAAACACACAAAATACAAGCTGCTATCTGTACAGTTTACAGTACTGGAACACATATATTCGAAAATGAAGTATAGATATGTTACTTTTCAAAGATACATGACTTTATAGCAGGGGTTTACCCAAAGTTTTTTTTTTTTTTTTTACAGCCACTTTAAAAATAGACAACAACTTCACTAGTATAGCTAAGTTACATCAAAGAAAGAACCAGTGTACTGAATGTGGATCGACTGGCCAATTCCCCAGGCTCCCAGATTTTTTGTGGTTTGTTTTTTGAGGAAACCCCTATACAGAAATGAAAATAGTATCTGAGTATATTCTTCAATGGTGGACTAAGCAGTTTCTTAAAACAAGACTTTAGCTTGCCATTCACTTCGGACTGCCTTGAAAATAAGATACACTACTGCTTAAAAGAACCATCGGAATGCTTCAGCGCTGGGAACAGGTGTTCTCTAAAAAAGAAGCAAGAAAACAAGTTAAGCTTTCTTTCGTGGCATTGCAATACTCGATTTCATCTACTTGCTTTCTTTCCTTTACATTTTAGCCAGAGCTGCAGTTATATAGGACCAACATGATGACGCCTCACACAGCTTGGCAGCTCATAGAAACATCCTTTCTCTCAACACATGCCATTCAGGTACCAACACATACATGTCTTTGTCAAAATGTAACGCACCCAATGAGCTATTTCCTCCTTAGCTAAGCAAGGCAATTATGAAAAAGAAAACATTGTTATTAAAAGCTACGTAAGAGCAAAGGCAGGGATGTGATGGAGCTCCGCGAGGCGCTCCCTCGGCCCGCGCCGCGGAGGCAGCGCTCCAGCAGGCGGGCAGTGCTCCAGTGGGACGCCGGGGCGCGCGGCTCTCCCCACCGCGCCGCTCTGCCCAGCACAGACCTCCAGCGAGGGAAACGTGCGCTGCTGTGGAGGGCACAGGTCTCCGGGTGGGCGTCCCCTCACGGTTTCTGCTCGTCTCCCCCCAGGATTAACAATCGTTCACTGACCACGGCGGGAGCAAGAGCGAGCCCAGAGGCAACTTGGTGTCGGTCAGGCCCGGCTCACAAACCCTGGTTGCATTAGTGAGCTTCCACAGAGAGCAGGGCCACGCACAGTGAACTCCCCCTAAAAGCAAACCCCCTGGAAACAGCAATTAAAGTTGGCTACAGAGGAGCTCCYCTCATCTTGCTGTGTTATAAATAAATATCATGACTCTTTCTGAAGGTTTTCTTTCATTTTTGTCTTGGTAAGCACTGTCCAGCTTTGTCCTGGGCTAGCCTTACTCTCAGGTTTAACATTCGTGTCCCCAAAAATATGCAAGATCAAAACACTTCACGTGTGTCACCACCATTCTCAAGTAGGGGCAGTCGACACCCAGGCCGTCTCCGTGGATGTGGAAGTTTAATAAATCACCTAAACATTAACTTCCAAGGACAACAAACAGGCTTGTYGACTGAGATCCCCCGGAACAGCGGGCGTTCGCTCGGGGCCGGGGCCAGCCCAGCACCCGCTGTGTCGCGCACCGCGCGTGGGGCGCAGCCCGGAACCCRCGCGGCCCCCACGACGGCTCCGCGCCGCCTCGAGATGGCAGCTGACACCGCGCGGGGCGCGCAGATTCATACTGCAGCAAGACGTCGACGGGAAAAGAAGCCGGAGTTCAGCGCAGCGGCAAACAATTGCAAGGCTAAACCAATTTCCAGAGAAGAGCCAAACATGCAAATGTATTAAACTTAATATATTGCCTTCACCTGAAAACCAAATATAATATTCTCCTATGGGTCCATCTACCTACACACAGAGCTGCAGCTAGAGAGATTGAKTTAAAAAACAGAGACGGAAAATGCCGTTATTTTCCTGCAGCGTCAGGCTGACTTACTGTCAGACATTGTCATATCAGTTGGAAGTAAAGGTGCAATGTCTGATTAAAAGGTCATTCAGACCTTTAAATACATGGAATAGTATTTTTGAAGGGCAAGGCACTATTTTAATATGTCTGCTTTAAAAAAAACTAGGAGATAAGGAATTTTGCATCCGCACGCAAAGTTCTAATTAAGGATATACATTAACAATGAAATATCCCCGGCGCTAACCCCCAATTTGGGAATGAATTATTAATCCATGCTTAAACAAAAAGCTTTTAAAATAGAACAGGTGGCTCAGGTTAAATCAAAACCAATTTATGGGATGAAATCCTTTGATTTCACCGCTCAGAGCCTCAAGGTGATTTCAAGACCGAATGCCATCTTCCAGGCCGCTCGGTGGCTCGGCACACCAATACACAGGCGTAAGCGCAAGGACCATCTACCTTCTGCTTTATAAATGCTCGAGTCCCAGCTGGGGAATGAAACCCGCGGCGAGACTGCGAYGAGCTTCTGGACCTCGCCTGGGCTTGCAGGAAATCATTATCCCGAGTGTCAGGGAAGACAGATTTCCCGGGAAGGAGAGGGCAGGGGGCCAGCAGCGCTGTTGAGGACAGGCCTGCTGCTCCCGCCGCTGCAGATCCCGGCCAACGGCAGCCTCGTTCCCAGGAGGAAAGGCTGCAACCGGCAGCCCCGGCTGCTCCTGATTGGTGATGCTACGAGCACTGGAGGTCAGCCCTACCAACCGGGAATCACCCTCAGGATTAAAAGTCTCTTGTTCCCTTTCTCTTCTTGCCAGCCTTCACTGAAAACTGAGCTTGCTGCAGAAGCAGGAGGAATAGCGCCAACATTTGAAATGCAGTATTTAATTGTGTTCTTGAAAAATCACCTTCACATGGAGAACCAAATCCACCACGTTGTCTGGCATCATGAGAAGAAAGAAAAAAAGCAAGCAAACCCAACGGAACAGTGAGGTACCCTTAAACAAAGCAGCAGTGGAAAAACCACAGACATCTCTGCCAGCCATGGCAAGGCCCAGGAGCTGCAAAGCTCCTCATACACGTGCATGCAGGCACACACTTACAGCAGGTTAAAGCAGCAAAATGCAGGTGCTGTGATTTGTCACCAGAGACTCCATTTGGCCATTTCACGTTGGGCACCAGGCCATGGGATCCTGATGCTGGCACCTGTGGGTCACTCTGGGGCCAGCAGCTCCTCTGCTCAGCCCCAGTGCTTGGAGGGATGTTGAGAGCCGCTGCCGCCTCGTGCCTGTGACACGTTGTGGAGATGCCCCCTCTCCCGGCTGGCTGAACGTCACAGCTTGCAGCTGCCTGCAAGACCTGCTGCGTAGCTCGCAAGCCAGCAAASCCGAGAGCTGCGCTGGTGCTTGGGCTGCAGACCACAGGCACAGCTGCATTCRTCAGCCGCTGCATAAGTCAGCTTTGCTATTACCTTCTGCAAGGCTAGGGAATCACTGTGGGAGAGGTGAACCACATTCATAAATAAAACAGTAATAAAATATAGCAGAGAGCTACGTGATTACGAGCCAATACTTCACCAGTGTCTAAAGAGGTTGCCTGATGTACAAATCCTTTTGTGTTTGATCCTCGAGCCAAAGGCCTCTTCTCGCAGAGGCAACATGGCACGCTGGCTACAGCAAAGTGCACTGCAGAGGCAGAACTCTCCCTTCCCCTGGAGCAGCCCTGGCTGAAACAACCAGCCCTCTGGTAGGTACATGGCAGCTGAGGGGTGAAGATTTGGGCTACCTGACAGTGCCCTTACGTAGACCGAGGTGACTGCAAAAAAAAAGACAGGAGTGAAGGAGCTTCTTTCTTAATGAATCCCAAACGTAAATGGCACCAGGGTGGATTTTCCTGTATTTCCCAAAGCTGCTGGGATGGTGCCAGCCACACAAGGAAAAGTGACCTTCACGGTGTCTTCATGGGTGGGTGCTCTTGAGTTTCTCATGCTGGAGGACAAGCCCTTCTTGAAAGTCCTTCCACAAGAGATGCAATTTGGTGCTTAGGCCAGTGGATGCAGGACGTAAAATTTGTCCCACTAGGCTAAGGGACAGAGAAACCTGGTGCTACATGACAGCAAAACAAGTTCGCCTGGAAAGCCTTGCTCCCAGYGTGAAACGCAGCGTGGATCAGTCAGCAGCCCACGGCACACGCTGAGCATCACCAGCGGTGAGGCCGGAGCCGGGCTTGTCTCCCACTCTGGTGAACGTGGACCCCAGCCCTGGTCAATGCCATGAAAGCCTCAAGGCTTGGGAGAAGAGCTGAGCGCAGTGAGCGCAGTGAGCGTCCTGCTGCCTCCTCCAAGCCAGGCCTTACATCTCCAGTGCTGCACGCAGTTTTAGGGGGCAGCCGATCCCAATGGGCATGAGGACCAACACACAGATCCTGCTGCTCATACAGAAACTGTCCCGAGTCGCTGCAGAGCCAGGTGAGTGAGCGCGGCGCTGTGCAAGGCTGCCAAGGACGCGAGGTCCCTCCCCTGGTCTGCCCTGCCAGCCCGTGCTCTCACAGCACCTCCCCTCTCCTTCCTTAAATGCTGAACCACCCTGAGAGGAAAGCAGCCTTTAAAATTATCTATGGCCCACTTTGTTCTCCTCATAAATATACATTACCTACAGCATTGGCTTTGGGGAAAAGCTCCTAAGGCTCAAATTCAGCTCACACAGTTTCCTTGAATGTTTTTCTTCAGGAGAGCAAGCTTGGGGGCAGAAAAAAAAGCCTGAGAATTCCCAACCCTGGAAAAGGGAAAGGGAGGGAGAGGTCTAGTGCGGYGCGCGAGGGAGGCCGGGCGAGGAGGCCCTGCGGAGCTGCGCGCCGCCGGCCCAGGGATGAGGCATCGCGCCCACGAGGCCTGCGGCATTGGCTGGTCCGGGCAGAGCTCTCGCTGTGGGAGCAGTCGGCTCCTTCCTGCCCTGGCAGCTTCCCACAAAACCGCAGGCACCCAGAAAGTTGCTGCGGGCTCTGGCTGAGGTGTGGAACAGCCCATGAAGCTGTGGCACCCCTGCCAAAACCCCGGAGTGCCCACGGACGCTGCCTCCTGCTCACAGGATGCGTTATCACGCTCTGCCACCACCCGCCAAAAAACAGCTTCTTTCTAGACTTTCCGGATAAAAAGGCTGTTAGGTCAGAAACTCAGCAGTGAGTTTGTTTTAACAATTCAAGATAAAACATCTCCCATCATACCTGAGCAACAGACCTGTCTCCCTCTGTAGTGGGGATGAGGTTTAACATTTGTTTTAAAAGCCACCTTTATTTGCTCTGAGAGGGCATGAATCTGCTTGCTGGCAGTTAGTTTTCCACTTGTGCTGTGTCTCTCTCATGAGGAGTTTGACACGAACCAGACTCAGAGCGCACTAGATTAGGAAACTCGTTTGACTTTCCCTGCCGCCAACTCCATGAAGTGAAAGGCAAACCTCCACCACGGCGTACATCCAACAGAAACTCAGAAAACGAACTGCTAATTCGGGGACAAAAAGCCCAGCTCCTCTCCAGTTTATCACTTGGCTAACAGCCTCAAGAGATTTCAGTGAGGCCAGCTGCAGAAGAGAGGGAGAACTAAAGACCTGTCACCACAGGGC